GAACGGGAAAATTAAGAGAATTACTAAAAAGAGCACACAAGGCCGTGATATTACTGTTTCACCCTTTAACTGTTAGACCATCACAAGACTTCCTTTCAAATAATTTTATAGAATTTTGTGATGATGATTTATTGAATTTTTAATTAAATTAAACTCCTTAATAAAAATATGGAGCTAAATCCACATTGGGAGTCTATAAAAAACTGCAAAAAGAGAGAATAAAATATGCGATAACCCACTGAGTTCATAAAATAATAGGACTCTATATCAAGAGAGTACATATGATTGAACTTATCAATACGTTCGGCCATCTCTAAAAATAACTTTGGGATGAACACTCAAAACACTGCGTTTTGCACTAAGATTAGATCACTCCACATTATAGTATTCTTCCTATCACAAAAGAATACCTCGCACGTATTTTCAGAACACCAATTCCCTAAAACTACAAATTCTCCATCACAAAAAAACTCTCTTCGCTCTTGGTCTGTGTGTTGTGAGTGTTGTGCCATCTCCTAATTATAGGGATGGATGGATCGCGGGAAATTATGAGGGCACAGACAGTGGGATCCTAAAAACACGATGAATCCTACGACAGTAACACACGAAAAAACGGACCCTCTTCTATCTCTTTTTATCTGAAAGAAGGAAATCTTATTTCCTTTATTTTCCCCATTTTCTATATATATCGTACACTGGCTGAAATGTATTTCTCTACGACGTATTTCCCTTTTTTTTAATTGTTTTCAAATGTTGGGTCCCATTGAGTGGGCACTGCAACATAGCATAAATCAAAAATCTATAATTTATGAAATAATCCCAAGTGAAAGAAACAATGAGATCTCATTCTATCTCTTATAACACACTAATGAATTGATTAAAGTATCTATAAATGAGTAATATGGTAGGTGCAGAAAGCATTGCTCTTTAACAGTGCCATTAAAATGCGGAACAAGTATTTCTTTTATTTCGTACTATTCACGGAACTAAGTTAAATGACGACCACCCTATACAAAGACCATCTTTAATAAGCTCTTCTGTATCTAATCTAAAATTAGAGTTTAAAAAAGAAGTAAAAGCGTAAAGCAAAAATACTCCGCTAAAAGTTTGGATATTTACACCTATATAAATAAAATAGACCTAATAATCATATTAATACAAACAAATGACTTAAACTCTTCTCTCTAAACATATTGTTGCGTTTTTGTCTCAACGCCACTTCTTCACAATAAATTATCTGACTAGAGTGTAGAGGGGGGGGCATGCGAGAGAGAGATATGTCTCAAGAAGAGTAAAGAACAATAATTAAGCAAACTGGAACCTTAGTGCGATCAGATCACAAATTATTTTTGTTTAATATATAATCACTATAATCAAATCATAATTAAGTCAACAATTATCATGAACGTATTACTTTTATTTAACTGATTTTGGAATTCTCCACCAAAAAAAAAGGAATAAGGTCTATTTGCCTTTTTCAACTTCATAATAAAAATGGATGACTCACAACTTGCTTACAGCTAATCAAAAAACAGCATCTACATTCTTTCAATACTTCAACGCGTCCACCGAAAAACGGATCACCTACCAAGAAGAAAATTCTTATTTCCTTATTTCCATTTTCAACTACATGTGGGTCCTACCACGTTTTCCTTTTTTTTTAATTGTTTCAAATGTGGGTCCCATTGAGTGGGCACCGCACAACATTTAAAAATATAAATTATGCAAATAATTTTGTAAGACATGAGACCTCATTACCAGACAACATGAATGGATAGACATAATAAAGGGGTAGGTTGCAGAAGCATTGCTCAGGCGGACAAGTTCTTTGCTCATGCAATTAAATGCACATAGACAGACCATTTTTAGCTCTTTGATTAAGCAATAATTTAAAAAAAAAAGTATAGTTTAAAGCAAAAATACTCGCTAATGATTAATTAATTTATAATTAAAAGAAACTATAATAATAATCAAACAAATTAAACTTTTTTTAAACATATGTGGTTTTTCTCAACCCACTTCTTCAATAATATTATCTGATAATTAAATTTGTCATCATAAAAAGAGTCAAGAGTATGAAAGAAAATAGCAACTGGACTTTCATCAGTCTTTTTTTAATTAAACATCAACTCATAATTAGTCAAAATTATTTGAACGTATATTATTTAACTGATTTTGGAATTCTCCAACCTATTCTTTTTCCTTCATAATAATTTATGACTCACTTTGGCTGTTACAGCTAATCAAAGCATCTACATTCTTCAATACTTCAACTTGCAAATTCGTCTATCAAAATAAGAATATTCCATAAATAGTATAATATATATATTTTTAAAAAATTATACTCCACAATTTAGGTATGCTTTACTAATCATATCTCAACTGATTATTTTCTTTTTTTTATAAATCATTCAGTATCTGGAGTTTACATATCCGATTAATCTGAATTTATACTGGATAAGTTCATATCAGGAAGTAAAACGCTCTCTCTTAAATATTTTATTTTAAATAAAAAAATTTTTTGCATTTGTTACAGAGCAGGAGTTTGTCTTGATTAGCCTCATACTTTGGTTTTAAACATGTCAGACCATGTGTTAAGCACTAGCGATACGAAACACACTGTACACGACTGCAAATGAAATGCCGGTGAGACTGGCAGCAAGTGGAGCTATACATTACTTTAACAAGAAAACAATTAATTAATTAATTAAGACTAAACACCAAAACCTCTGCATATGTTGCTTATAAAATTAAATTTTCTCGACCTCTGTAACGAATGCTTACTGTTGATGCCTTGACAACGTGAGGACGGTGGCTGTTTAAGGTCATTAATCATTAAATTTATGCCCTAAATAATAATAATATTAATATTAATATTAATATTAGATCAGAAGTCTTTATCAATAATTGCGTATCGTTTTCCTTTTCTTTTGGAGAATTTATTTTTTCTAGCTTCACATTAACTTAATTCTGTACTATTTAATTTATAATAATTGTGTCTAATCAACTTATGTTATTAAATTGTAATGATCATTAAATTTTTTATATTAGCATTGAATGATGCATTTAATAGGTAATTTGTATCCAAAAGTTAAGTTTGAAGTGTTTGTTTGCTAGAATAGAAGTATACATTTTCTGAGTTTTTTTTATTGGTTGCCAATTGATTTATATTTTTACTTTATATTTGGACCACATTAACCTTATAAAAATATTTATTAATAAATTTAGTTTTCGAGTTAGTATTTATATTGTTATTCTATTTATAATTATTTAAAATAAAAATTTAATTATTATATTATTTATATAATACACTAGAATATAAATAATATAGTCATCCTAAAAAAGAATAGTAAAAAACATGAAAACCCGTTATACATCATTTTACATTTTAACAAATAACTATTATTAGGATCTAAAACAAGAGGGGAGTTAGTAGCGTTTTATAAAAAGTTAATTCATGCAACGTTTAATTTTTAGTGTTTTATGAAAAGCTACTCAAACAGCTAACAGTGAGACCTAAAATGGTTGAAAGTACGTTACAAATGCTAGATACGAAGGTTTGAGAAATGTTAATGTAAAAATATTTTTTTTTCGAAGAGAAGAGCAGCTGCCCCTCTTTGTGAGACATGTACATATGCACTTGCAAGTTGGAACTAGCATTCATCAAATAACAATTATCAACCACTACCTATTACCTAATACATCAAAATCAAACTCATTAGTTTAAACTCAATAATTGCAAAATAGAATACTACAACTTAATGCAACGAATATATAAGAAGTGGAGAACTATAAACTATTCCCAAATTGAATAATTGTAATGGAATGAGGATTAAGATAAGGTCAAGTGTGAAGCGACCTTATCTATAAAATGTTTAATTTAATTAATTAATTGCTCCATAATTTAGGAATTTGTAAGAGGAATATGACAAGTAGACAACCAATTGGTTGTCATATTGGAGCCTTGAAGGGAGGGAAAGGCATGAAAGCCAACAAAGCTGTTTTGGATCCAATCTAAGTTCTGACCATTGAGTTTATTGGATTTGGATAAAAACTGACCTAGTGGTTCAACAATCAACACAACCTAGGATTAGATTTAAGTTTTTTTTTATTATTATTATTATTTATTCAGAGTTCGATGTGTCGTAGATTATATAATAAGGAATAATTCTTTCTTATATTCGAATTTGAGACCAACCAGAGCGTATATAATTATCGGATCAAATTTAAGATTGAATCAATATTTAATTTGATAAATTATATTCATTTAATATTTCAATTTATAAAATTTAATTTTCCAATAATTATACGAAAATGAAGAAATATGAAAAATTATTATTTGGTAAAAAACATTGAAAGGTGTGTTATTGTTAAACAAAACTTGAAATTTATGAAAATAAATAGATCTAGATAAATGCAATGTCCATTAAAAAAATGAATAAATCTAAGAACTCAAACTCAAATTTTGTATCAAAGTTTCACGGATCTAGCATGATTTGAGAAAATTCCAAAAAAATATAAGAACAAAACTAAAGACGAAGCTAGAGGGAAGAGAGAGGGGAGAAGGGGTGTCAATCGGTGAGAATACTCACTGGTGGCTGCCCAAAGAAGAAGAAGAAAGAAGAGGAAGAGAGAGTTTAGACTTTAGATCATAATTGAAGTGAAGTTACTTAGTAAGTGAATCCATTTTTTACCTCATTGATTAAAATTTGCTTCCTAGGATTAATGTTTAAGAATATAAATAATACTGGAAGTAAATTTTGCAATTTGTCTAAATTCTGATAGAAATTGAATTAAGAGCAAGACACAAGCTAAAAGAAAATCAGGGTGAGGTGGATATCACTTTTCTTTTTTTTTTTTTTACATGTGCTAGCTATTAATATTGCATAACAAAATAAATTTTAAGATAGGTTTTATGTCCAGGAAATGCAAAATTATAACTTAAAAATACATAACATTAAGCTGTTACTCTATGAAAGAAAACTCAATATGAACAAATGTTATAGGAAAGGGAAAACTGAGTTCATATATCATAGAACAGAGTAAAAGGGATTCATGTACACGTGAGAGAGAACAGAAGAGAACAAAATGATCAACTAGTTCTAGTAGAAAATACAATCTATGAGACAATCCATTTCCCACTTAAATTTGGGGAAAAAGGATTCTTCAATTACAGTAACAATTAATTACTACTTAATGGCAATAACTCTTTTGGCTACGCATTTTATCTCCCCATGTGCTATCTTCAAATTCTTTAGTATTACTTCTTCTTATTAACTCTGTAAGCTGAGACTGCCATTTTTGTTCCCATTCACATCTATCATCAAATCCAGTGCGGGATCTGTGTCCCTTACCAGTAGAGAAAATAGAGTTTAAGTCTAATCCTCCACTGGCCATATCTCTGTCATATAAAGCTCTGCTTTTTGGATCAGACAAAGTCTCATAAGCTTCTTGAACTTCAATAAACTTTTTGGTATACTCTTCTTTGCATTCCGGCGGAGACACGTCGGGATGGTACTTTCTTGCGAGTTGTTTATAAGCTTTTTTTATTTCTGAAAGATTTCCATTTTCTGATATACCTAACAAATCGTAAAAGCTCTCCGTTTTTACATATAGTGTATAGGCCATCACGGCCTTAATTGGACCTGCTCTGTTCGTTTTGGAAGTGGTATTTTTGAAGGAAAAGTTTGATTTTGGGAGATGCTTAGAGAAGCTGAGCTTAGAAGATGGGTTAAGAATTGATTTTGGGGATGAGAGATTGGGTTTCGAGATGGTTTGGAAGGTAGGAGAGAGCATTTCTGCAGTACTCATGTTTTGCTTTGTTTCTTAACTGTTGTGACTTGGTTTTTCAGTATTTCAGCGTCGAGGAAGGTGAGAGGTATATATAGACCACTAGTATAATAAAATAATAATAATAATTAATAAATAACAAAGCGCAAAAGAAAAAGTAAGAGGCAAGCAGCAAGCTATTAAGCTAAGCAGGGGTGGCCAAAATCCAGTTTTCGAAATCAAAACCATCGGTTCCGAATTGGTGGGAACCGAAACTGAAATTGATGAGAACCGAAATTGGTCCAAACTGAAATTAGAATTGGTTCAAATCGGTTTGGTTCTGATTCCATCAATTTTGGAACCGTGAACCGGCGGTTTCAGCTCCAATCGAAACCGACGGTTCTAGTTCCATCTGAAATTGGCCGAAATCATCCAAAATCGGCCGAAACTGGTTCGAAATTGACCTGAATTGTCGACAAACCGGCCGAAGAACCGGATAGAACCATCGATTTTAAACCATTGAGTAACCGAAACTGAAACCGAAACCGTTTGGTTTCAAAACGTAACTAAAACCATTAATTTTCGATTTGATTCTGATTTTAAATTTTTTGAATTCGAAATCGAAACCGGCGGTTCCTGAAACGTGTCCAACCTAAAGCTAAGCAAAAGAATAGAACAGACAAAAGACGGTGCCGCAGAAAATTCAACGCACCTTTGCTAGGGGTTAATCACCGAACCATGTCTTTGTTGTTGGAATTTTTCGTCAGAGAAAAATCAATTAAATAAACAATATATTGATGGGCTTCAATTTTAACATACATAAGAATATAAATTCCATTTTGAAAAGTATATTTTGTTGAGAGAATTTTTTTTATATGACTCGACTTTAATTTCGATAGAGATAAGAATATAAGTTCTTCTTAAAAAACATATTTTATTGGAAGAATCTTCCTTATATAATTTGAGTGAAATTACACATCATTCTCGTCTACAATTACAACAGGAATTCATTCTCTACACTTGTAGAATAGAAAAGGCAAGTAAATATGTGCCATCGTTTAATTCTCTTTATTAATTTTTTTTTAACTTGAAAAAAAAATAGAAAGACTAAATGTGTTAATCACTTTTCTCTCTGTTCGGACCATTAATCAAATATTAACATCGCGATTTGAGACACTCTATAGAAATCCTTAATTTTAACATTATAATTTTCCGTTAATAAAATGAATCAGACGGATGATTAAATGCATTTGCTACCAGGCTAGAACTTCAGGTAACATTAGGATGGGTGCTTGTTTATAATTTGAAACGGTAATGTTCAGCGTACAACCCATGACGTGGCTAATTATTAAGGAGCTAATTCTTTAAAAAATAATTATATAATTATTTTTTTTAAAGGGCTAATCTTTAATAAATAAAAAATAATTATATAATTATTTTTTAAAAAAAAAAAAATAAAGTTGTCTAAAACTGAGTGGCGAGGCCTGAAGTTTAGATAAAACACAAAGCTCTATAATTAATTTAAGCTTTTATTAAAAATATTTATGGAGGAATGTACCTTATCATGCCCATTTGCATAAAACTAATGCTTATGGTTGATGCCTCGACAACGTGAGCGTCGGTTGGTTTTGAGGTCATTACTCATTAAATTATTTCTGACTGTCCTAAATTATATGTTTATTTTAATTAATCAATTAAATGAATTTTAATAAATATCAGATCGAAGGTCTTTTTCATACATTTAAAGACTTTTATAGAGACCCATTTCTTTCTTTTTATTTATTTTTTTTTTTTTTCAGAATGTACTGCTATTACTTTTATGTTTGGGCGAAGAGACAAGTAAACGGCCAACACGCTGGCGGCACTTGGTAGAATAAATTCTCCTCTTTCTTCTTATTTATTTATTTATTTCAAATTCTAGAAGAAAGCGAAAGCAATGGAAGGAAAACTGTTTTAGATTCAAATTAATCATAAACAAGGAGTTCCTGCGGATTTGATAACTTTGGTTTGGCTTTGATAGCTTTTAACTGATAGAGATTAACCAATAAAAAGTAAAATTAGTATTAAGGTATTAATTTTTTTATGTTTTTTTTTTATTTTAAAAGTGAATATATTGTTTTTTTTACTATAATATAATTAAAATATTAATTTTTTAAAAAAAATAATATTTAATAAAAATAATTTAAAAAAATGAATATTTAATAAAAATATAACTAGAAATAAACGACAATAATATTTAATAAAAATATAACTATAAATAAAACGATATAATATTAATTTGAAAAGAATATTACTGAGGTTAATCAAATCCAAATATATATAAATTTAAATCATTTACTCAATTAAACAAAAAGTTTCAAAACATAATTAATGGAATCAACAATTAGATTGTGATTTCTATCGGTAATTTATAAAACGGATAATATCTTGTTAGGTCTAAGATGTTACAATTTCTCACATTAATAATTTTCCATCCAAAATCTACCAATTATTTTCATTTAATTTTCACTAGAAACACAAAATTCACTTTAATGTTATTGTTTTAAAACAAACTTTCTCTCTTTTTTTTCTCCTTCAACCTTACCTCTTTATCTTATCTTCTCATCTTAGTTTTCTCACCTAATCCATCAAATTACTACCACCATAAGCTTCCTTGCAAGTTATTCTCACTTACACGTCATTCTTTCTAACACTAAGCCCACAAATTAATTAAGCCAAATGAGAAGCATAACACTTCTTTTTTCTTTTCCAAATGATTTTCATCTTCAAAATTTAAAACTCATTTTCTTTTAAAATAAAAAAAAAAAACACATAAAGAAAGCTATTATGTTTGAGAAGATTAAGGTCACCAAACTCATCGTTGAGATGAATGATGAGAGATTTCTCTTTAATCATTATTGTTAGATTTAATCTCTCCATTTTTTTTCAAGACAAGTTGATGAATTATCTTTTGATATTAGACCGGTTTTACTAATTAATTTTTCAAACGTTAACTATGACATTATAGATTTAATCAAATCTCAATACTTTGTAGTAACTTATTATTAGAGTAATATTTCAAATTCCATGACATACCTAGACTTTTTTAGCATAACTTTTTTTTTTTTTTTATTGGTGGCAAAAGAAGAGCAGAACAAAAAATAGAAACCTATCTCAACGAGCCAATGTTACAAACATCAACCTAAAAAATCAAAGATAATAAATTAGGACTAGTTTTCCAAATGAATAAAGAAGGAAGGATGACATGCCCAACTTGGCCAAATGATCAGCTGCAGAATTAGCTTTCATGAAACACATGATAGATAGAACACTCCTAATCATGACTCATCAAGTTCTAAATATCCAAAATAAGAACGGCCAAAGGATGAGCAATAGATAACCCTGAGCTCACCAGCCTAATAGCCTCCAAACAATCAGACTCAACAACAACCTTACGGAAACCACGGTCCCAAGCAAGAATAAGCCCTATCTGAATAGAGAAAAACTTACCAACTCAAATAGTAGAGTGCCAGTATTAAGAGAATAACCCCCAAGCCACCTCCCCCAGTAATCACGAATCACACTACCACCACCAGTCAATCCCGGATTAGTAAGACTGCTCCCATCACAATTTAACTTCATCTAACCATCCTGAGGCTTAACCCAAGCCACACAAAACTACCTACTAACTCTAGCCGAAGCACTGCAGGAGAAGAAGAATTCAGAATATCCACAAAGCTACTTTAAAAGCACAACGATTTAAAGCAAAAATAGCAACAAGTTCATTCTTAAAAGACATACAAGTTCCTCACTTTCCAAACCCACCAAATAGCAGCTCAAAACCAATGATGCCAGGAGATACCAAAGGGATCAAACATGTGCAAGGATAAATTTAAATGCAACCACAACACAACATCATCCAAATCCCCAGGCCCAAATAGCAGCTTCAAAACCCATATGATGCCCCCAGGAGACAGGATTACCAAAGGGCAATCAAACATGTCGCAAGGAATAACATTTAAATGAACCAATGATGCCAGGAGATACCAAAGGGATCAAACATGTGCAAGGATAAATTTAAATGCAACCACAACACAACATCATCCACTCCAAAAAAAATTAGGAGGCAAACTCCACTACTGCCACTATGCCCGCACTACAACACAATCACGAAAAAGATGCTACAGAGACTCCTCCTCCATAGAACATAAACTACATAGACTAGAAAGACTCAAATCTCTCTGAAACTAAAAAAAATTAGTTGGCAAACGGCTATGCCGAATCAGCCGAAAAAAATTTTTTGGCATAACTTTTAAGGATGGAGATTTCAATTTGGATCTATTATCAGGCCGTATATGCATTTATCACTGGGCTATATCTTGGTATGCCATGACAAACCTCAACTTTCAAAACCAATGGATTTAACTATTTCCCTCCTTTTACTTTAGCCAAATTAAAAAAAAAATAAAAGAATTGGTATAACTACTTGTCAAATTCAAAATTGTATTCTAGCTAATTGAGACTATCCCCATTCAAAGTACTTTGACAAGATTCCATGACCTAATGAATTTCCATTAGATTATATTACTTAATATTTTTTAATATATAGGTCAGTTGGATTTTTTAAATGGTATTAGTGGTTGATTTGTTCTTATCAAATTTTGTTTAATTACTATCTTTGTTTCTGTTTCATTATCTTTGTCACATTTAGAAGTTCACGACCCTTAAAAAGACTATTAAATTTGTCTAGATTATAATAAATTATTAAGTAAATTAATTATATTACCTTTAATTTAATATATTCAAATACCAAATTAAATTTTAAACTGTTCAATTCTCATATCCGATCATAGCAGTGGAGAGATTTTGCGAACACAAATAAAAGGGTAAACATGAAAAAAGAAAAGAATTTATTACTCCTTGAAACTACAAACGTCAGAAGAAATTTGAAACAAACTATTTTCTCAAATGTAATAAATATTATAAAACAGAAATAGTATATTTTTTAATATTCAAAACAATAGAGCAATTGATTAAGGAGTGATATTCTTAATTTTTATTTTGATCTTGTTAAATATTTAAAATTTATATGCAGCAAAAATTTTTTTAACAGGTGAATTTATGTATTTTTCGCCGTATATAAAAAGAAAACAGAACATATCATCTAATACTAATAGGGGAAAAATTTTAAAAACTGATCCATTTCCCATTTAAATTTGGGAAAATGGCTTGTGGAAGTTATATTATTATTAACAATTAATTACACATTATGGCAATAACTTTTTTGGCTACGTATTCTATCTCCCCATGTACTATCCTCAAATTCTTTAGCATTACGTCTTCTTATTAACTCTGTAAACTGAGACTGCCATTTTTGTTCCCGTTCACATCTATCATCAAATCCGGTGCGGGATCTGTGTCGCTTACCAGTAAAGAAGAACGAGTTTAAGTCTAATCCTATACTGGCGATATCTCTGTCATATAAAGCTCTGGTTTTTGGATCAGACAAAGTCTCATAAGCTTCTTGAACTTCAATAAACCTCTTTGTATACTCTTCTTTGCATTCCGGCGGAGACACGTCGGGGTGATATTTTCTTCCTTTTTCTGATATACCCAACAAATCGTAAAAGCTCTCTGTTTTTACCATCACAGTATCAGCCATGACGGCCCTAACTGAACCTGCTCTGTTCGATTTCAAAGTGGTATTTTTGAAGGAAAAGTTTGATATCAGCCATGACGGGCCCTAACTGAACCTGCTCTGTTCGACTTTTCCAAAGTCGCCTTCCTTTTTCTGATATACCCAACAAATCGTAAAAGCTCTCTGTTTTTACCATCACAGTATCAGCCATGACGGCCCTAACTGAACCTGCTCTGTTCGATTTCAAAGTGGTATTTTTGAAGGAAAAGTTTGATTTTGGGAAATGGGTATTGAAGCTGAGATTAGTAGACGGATTAAGAGTTGATTTTGGAGTTGAGAGATTGAGTTTGGAGATGGCTTGAAAGGAAGAAGAGATCATTCCTGCAGTAGTCATGTTTTGCTCTGTTTCTTTGCTATGTAACTTGGACAGAAGAGGAGGATGAGTGAGAGCATATATAGAGAACTAACATTAATAAAATAATAATGAAAAATATAAAATTTAGAACTTAAAAAAAGAAGTAAGAATGTAAGATGCAAGCTAAGCAAACAATAGACAGAGAGTGATTGAAAATTCAAGGCGCCTTTGTCACCGAAACCATGTCATTGTCTCGTTAGGACCTCTTTTCTGTATATAATACTCCTAACATTTGGTGAAAATAATTTATTATAAAATATTTAATTTTTTTTTTATTTTTCACACTCGCGTTTAAATACAATATGAGAAAGAACAAGTAAATTATATTTACCAAATAGTAAAATTTCACACTTTTCTAATTTCTTAGTTATTTTGTTTAGATCGAAGAGATTCCAAATATATAATTCAATAGAAAAATAAGTTTAAATTTTACTTTTTTTTTCATTATTTTCTTCTCCTTTTTCAAAGGAGGGAAAACTGATGTTTTTTCTATTGTTATTTCTTTCCTATAAAAAAACTTCTATCTAAATAAAGGATAAGATCCGAGCTGTTTTCCATATGAAACCGTAATGCTTTTAGAATAAATATAATCAATTCTAAAAAAAATATATAATCAATTTATTTAATAATAAAAAAATAATAAAGTTATCCAAAAATGAGTCATCCTGTCGAAATTTCAGTTAAAACAGTATGTTTATGTTGTCTTATAGTTGATTTGTAGTTATTCATAATAATATTTCTGGATGTAGCATTATAGAACAATTGCTATGGGTTGATGCCTTCTCAACAACGTGAGAGACAGTTGCTATAAGGCCATTAAATTATTTCTGACTTTCCGGAATAAAAGGTCTTTTACATATATATATATATATATATATATTATCAATTTTTAGTATACTTTTCAGAGAATACAATTTCAAGAAAATTATTTCTTAAAAAATATAATTTGATTGTATTTGGTATGCAAATTAATTTCATGGAAAGTAAAATTGCTCTCAAATAAAAAAAATTACAATATATCAATTTGAGTGTGTAAATTAATAAATTCATTGCACTTAACTAGGAAGTGTAACTTTCTTATGTATCTCTAAGTAACTTACTTCTCTTACATAGGATAAGTTGAATGACCCACTTTTCGAGAAGTAGAATTGATAATAAAAACTAAACACGACTTCTTTCTAGAAAGTTACGCTTCATAGTCTATTTATCACCGACTAAACATTTTATTAATTTTCAATAAAAAACACTTAGTATATCAAAAGTAACCTTCAATTCCATAAATTTTAGTTTTCAAATAAAATAATCAAACATGAAATTTAATAAAAATCTATAAATTTAACATACCATCTATCCAAATTCACCTCTAAGTTTGTTCAATAAAATTTTCATTGAAGCATCCAGCACTTGAAAACCAAAGATAAAAGGAGGAGACAAGTAGAACCGTAGGATACTAGAATTAGAATAAAAAATGAGAATTAAGATAAGTTTTGTTGACAAGTGGACAGCTTGGATAATAAGTTACCAATAAAAAATAAAATTTATATATATATATTATTTATTTATTTTTAGATAACTTATTAGTTGTCTAGTTGTAAAAAAAAAAAAAAAAAAAAAAAAAAAAAAACAGCTTTTGGATTACATAAGTTACCAATAAAAAATAAAACTTTATATATATATATTATTTATTACTTTCTAGATAACTCTATTAGTTGTCTAGTGGTAAAAAAAAAACAAAAAAAAAAAAAAAAAAAAAAACTTAATTCTTAAACCCACCAATAAGTTATCAACAAAAATATAAATCTTAAAAAGACTAAAGTGCTATATGTATATACTTAACAATAAAACATGAGGCGTCAGAAAGTTTTGCCTCGTGACTGGACAACTTGAACCAACAACGGTTAATTATTACCGATCTTACAATAGCATTTATAAATATTATAAACTTATCTATACATTTAATTTATTTATATTGGAACAAACAACGGACTTGTTTTAGAATCTCCGTATAATAATGGTTGATGCTTAACCGCCAACCTTTGAACGTCAGTATCTAATAAAACCAGCTTAATAAACTAATTAAACATAAAAAAAAAAAAAAAAAAAAAAAAAAAAAAAACTTATCTTAAACCACCAATAAGTTATCAACAAAAATATAAATAAAGACTAAAGTGTATATGTATATATAAAATAAAAATGAGGCGTCAGATAAGTTTTGCTCGTGACTGGACAACTTGAACAACAAGTTAATTATTACCGATAAATAAGCATATAAATATTATAAATATCTATACATTAATTTATTTATTATTTGAACAAGACTTGTTTAAATCTCGTATATAATGGTGATGTTTAACCGCAACCTTTGAAGTATCTAATAAAACAGTTAATAACTAATAAAATAATTAATAACTACTAAAATATCTAATATTATCAAACAGATTCGATATTTAAAAATTTATTTTCGAAGGATCTTTTAAAATATTATTGTTGTTTTGTTCTCCGTCCCGTGATGATAAAAAATTTAAAAATAATTTTTTCTATAATTAGTTTGGTGTATGTTATTGGTTGGACTAATACAGAGAAAGCAGATACTCATCCCCTTATTACTTGTAAGTCAAAATAATTTGTTCAAGAAATAGCAAATTGGAGAATGAAAAGTGACTGTTGGTAAAATAAATTCCTTATTTTTGAATTCTAGAAGAAAGGGAAGTCTTGAAATTGAAGGAAGGGAAGCTGTTTTAGATTCAAGTCAATCAAAAACAGGGGGTTTTGTTGGATTTGGGTAAAACCCACATCAGCCAAACGTTTCCCGATGCCCACATCACAGCCTAATCACGAGATTAAACGTTGGATTAATGTTCAAAATAAATGTATTTTAACTATTTTTCTCTTTTTATTTTAGCCTTTTTAGGAAAGAAAGAGTATATTTTTAAAATTCTTTCAATCTTTTTGCCTTGCCACATAAATTGTTTGTTTAATTTTAATTGAATTAAGGAGTGGATATATACTATTTTACTATTAAAATTTTCAATATATTTCAACCGAAACATTTTCAAGTTTTAAATACTAGATAGTTCCTTCAAAAATACTTCATTGTGTCGTGTTTGAGTTATTATTTTGTCCAAAAAATATAAATACTTTTGAGTATTTTAAAGAATAATACATTATGTTTTTCCAATGTTACCTTATTTACATTAAATACAATAAATACTTTCATGAGTAACCATTAATTTTAAAATAAATAATAATTTAGTTAAATTACTTTTTGTTTTATTACAATCTATGAGAATTAACTGTTCCTTTAATCATTGTGCGAAAACCTTAAACGATTTATATTTTAAGATAGAGAGAGTACTAGATAGTGAATTAGTATTGAAATGTCGAATATCGGGAATTAATTTTAATCATTTTAAAAATATTGAAAAATTGGAAAAATTTAATTATCTATAAATAAATTAGAGATTCTATCTAACTACTTTTGCTGAAATAAAAATTAAATAAATTTATATTTTATATGTATAATTGATCACAAATGGTTATTTATTTGTTTAAGTTGTGAATAAATATAGTTATTTAGAATAGAATAGTGTGTCGATCTCTTTCTTTTTTTAAATTATCTTATCTCGTATTCGTATAGTGTTATGTCTCGCTTTGCATATTCATCGCTTGTATCTGTGCAACCTAGTTGTATCTAATTACACTAGCCACTTTCAAAATTATTTTGACAAAATTCCATGACCTCTTATGCTTGTTTGAATGGATGTAAAATAGATGGTGAAAATGTTCAATTTTCAAAATTTCTTGTTTGGTTTGGATGAAAATGTTAAGGAAGATGTAAAATAAATTTATTTTACACCCTTCTAACCTTATTTTCACTCCATTTGGAGAGAAAAATGAATAGTAAGATGAGATTTTACCTCCTTGTTTTACTTCTACCCTTCCCAAACACAACGGAGAAGCTTTTTTTTTTTTTTTAAACTTCGTAACCCTACCAATAGATGCACTATGGCGCGAAGAACATCCTTGTGATGCAAGTGGAGTGACAAACTCGGAAGTCTTGCCATAACGTAAAAGCACGAATGCAAGTTTCTATAACGTCAAAATTCGAATTCCTAGGTTCAATCATGCAGAAGATAATTTCCCATAACTGTTCAACGGTCATCAACCAATACATGTGATAGTCCGTTTCATTGGATAACTTGACCATTAAGTAATCATTCTCTTAACTCCTAAACCTGTGCATCGAGGGGCTTCCTTCAGAAGGATTCTATACCAGACAAAAAGCTTTCTAACCAATTTATCTACCTATGACTCGAACAATCACAACACGTTTCCATGGCACTGAAAGTTTTTCCTATACTTGATTCGAAACTATAACTTCAGGAGTTCCACTATGAGTAATTAACTATATCAATGATTTCAATTTCCTCTTTCATAGTTTCCATATCATCATCTTCAAAACCTTATCCCGAAAAGAAATATCACTCTGTAGATTTTCAAATCGGGATTTCAATATTTTTAAATACTAGCATAAAGTAACGAAACCAGAATTAAAGCAAGTGAACTAAAGATACTATTCCAATGAGCAATATACAGAAACAAAGGGGAAATCTATACATAAAGAAAGAACAGAAAAAATAATCCATTTCCCCCTTAAATTTTGGGAAATGAATTCTTCAGATTGTGTTAACAAGTAATTACTCTTAAGTCTTAATGGCAATAATTCTTTTGGCTACGAATTCTATCTCCCCATGTAATATTCTCAAATTCTTTAGCATTACTTTTTCTTATTAACTCTGAAAGCTGAGACTGCCATTTCTGCTCCCAGTCACTTTTATCATCGAATCCGTCGCGTGATCTGTGTCTCCTACCGGTAGAGAAAAACGAGTTTAAGTCTAATACTCCACTGGCCATATCTCTGTCATACAAAGCTCTGGTTTTTGGATCAGATAAAGTCTCATAAGCTTCTTGAACTTCAATAAACCTCTTTGTATACTCTTCTTTAAGTTCGGGCGGCGACACGTCGGGATGGTATTTTCTTGCGAGTTGTTTATAAGCTTTCTTTATTTCTGAAATACTTCCACTTTCAGATACACCCAATAAATCGTAGAAGCTCTCTGTTTTTACATACACTGCATCGGCCATGACGGCCTTAATTGGACTTGCTCTGTTCGATTTGGAAATAGTATTTCCGAAGGGAAAGTTTGATTTTGGGAAATTGGTATTGAAGCTAAGAGTAGAAGATGGTTTAAGAGAAGATTTTGAAGTAGAGAGATTGGGTATTGAGAAGGTTTGGAGGGTAGAAGAGGTGATTCCGGATGCAGAACTCATGTTTTGCTCTGTTTTTTGTGTTTCGCTCTGTATATCGTTTGAATTTGTAATGAATGCAATGAGCAGAAAGCGAATTTTGAGTTCGTATATATAGACAGGATCAGAGAGAGTATAATAATCAATAAAATAGTAAATTAGGTGACTGGTTCTGATGTTCATTACTTACCTAATGGTAAGGTGAGAATGCCCTAAGGGATAAAATAAGAAAAATCAACACGTCATCGAAGTTTCTAATCTACACCGCATATCTATCCAAACCATGTCCTTACTTTTTTCAAATAAAAATCTATAAGAAATCTAGATTTTTTAATTAAATAATCAAATATTTACGCCTCATGATGGTGAAGATAATTAAAAAATATCATAAAAAAATTAGTAAGCTAATTTCATATCCTTAAATCCTAATTAGTCGGACTAATAGTCGTCAGATAGGAACAGTTTTAATCTAATTTTTAGTTCAATTTAGAATTATGGATCTTATTGAGCAAAATTGAAAATAGTAAATTGAACTTTGATTCTATACAATTACCATATGCAACAAGAAGTTGTTTCAGGTAGGCAGTAAGCGGTTTGTAGGAATCCAGGACATAGCTTAACTTTGAAACGGTAAAGAATTATAGAAAGTATGAATCAGTCAATTTCTTCTGGAATTGTTATTTGCTGTTTTGGAACCGTACGGTGGGCAAAGCCGCGTTTTGCGTTGCTATTTTACTTTTTATTTTCGTTTGTTTCCTTCTGAAGTCAAATATTAGTTGGCGAATTGCTGGAAAATGAAATTTGCAAATTCTTGATTAGGAAGCATCTCATGTTTCCATTATCACCGTCATTACTATACTAACTTCTATTTCTAATTAATATCTATTTAGTAATATAAATGATAATTTATTTATTATAAGGCTGATTAATTATTACTAATTAATGTATTTTATTATAAGTTATGTACAATTTTTAAACTGAAAGACTCGTAAAATTATTTTTATATGAAGTTTCATAGTAGGCAAATTGAATATATTACTCATAATCTGTCCCAGTTCATCGAATTAAGAACTTTTGTGGTAGTTTTGGAGTTCTTCAAAAACGAAAAATAAAATATAAAAAAGGAAATAGAAAAAGGACGTAGAAAGAAGCAATCCGCTTGCCTGGCTTGACGTGTGGATAGAAAAGGTTTAGGAGAACGAAAATCTTTGAGTTCAGGTGGGGCCTATAATAACCAATGTGTCTATCCACGTGGATCCCACAAAATTTGATAAGCTCACATTTTTTCTTCTAGATGAAGGCCAGGTGTCGTGTGCTGTGACGTTGGTAACAAATAAATTTATTTTTAATTTGTTTTTCAATTAATCAAAGGCCACTTGCAGAGGAACCATACACCGTTGCAGATATATATAGACGCCTAGAAAAGAGCAGAAAGCAATCCCGCTTGCCCTGGCACTTGGAACGTGTGGAGTCAGCAAAAGGCTCTAGGAGAACCGACAAATCCTTTGCAGTTCAGGTTGGGGCCTATAATAAACCCCAATGTGTCTATCCACCCGTGGATCCCACAAAAATTTTGATAACGCTCACATTGTTTTCTTTCCTAGGACTGAAGCGCCAGCTGTTCTCGGCTGTGCTGTGGACGGTTCGGTAACAAGATAAACTTTTATTTAATCTTGTTTTTCAATTTAATCAAAGGCCACTTGCAGCAGGAACCACTACACCGTTTGCAGATATATATATATATATATATATATATATACTATTATTAGCGAGTACCAATTCTCCTAAGCCCATACACTTTGATTAATACACTATTTCTTTATATATATTATTAGGAGGTACAATTCTCCTAAGCCCATACACTGATTAATACATATTTTTTATATATATATATAACCAGGAGAATACTCTTTAGACATAAATCATAATGACTTTTAGCCCTGCAGTAAAATGCATTTTTTATTGATTAATGTACGATAACTTGTATTTTTAAATTTACGAGAATTGAAATCGTTATCGTCCTGATTAATATTATTGATTATATTTTTAATATATAGAAATAAATTAAATTGATTTTTAATTTCATAAATTATGTCTTCTAAGCATATAAATTAAATTGGTAAATGTTGGCATGAAATTAATAAGCTCACATCACGTCTGTTCTTCAAGATCAAAGCCGCAAAAAATTATTTTCTTGATGTTAGATTTAGAACCTAATTTTTTATATTAAACTTAATAAAATTTTATTTTTAGTATAAGTTTGCTAATATCCTAAAATAGAGCACCACCAAATTATAACCTTTATGCCCCAGCCGATCTTGTCATTCCTTGTTGTGAATTACAGTTAATAAAGAGATAATTGTTACTTTCTTCCTATATTTTGTTATAATTAACTAATAAATTCTTATATTTTCAAAAATATAAGAATTTATATTTAATGTTTGCCATCCAATTATTTTATCTCTACATTTAATTTTTGTACTTTTTCGCTAAAAACTTTAATTATGATTATTATCTTATTTTGTATTTGTCAAAATTAAATCTATCTCCTTATTTTAAAAAATAAATTATTTTATTCTTAAAAAATACAAGAAAAATGTAGTTAATTTCGTAAAAATTACATATATAAAATAGTAACTATAACTAAGATTTCTAGTAAAAAAATATAAAATAGATAGAAAAATGAAATAGTTGGTCGGAACCAAACATTTCGATCATAGATTTATTTTTAAAAATAAAGGCACAAAACTAGTTAATTGTGGTAAAATATAAAGATAACATAGTAATTATTTCACCAATAATTTATTAATTAAAGTCATAATTCTAACATAAGGAGACTCTCTCTCTCCTTCTTTCTCGAAAAACCTATTCTTCTACGGATAGTAAAATACCCTGAATTTTTATTTTCGAAACATTTGAATTTTTATTAAATCAAAATTTGAATTTTCAACGGTATGGGCCGTAAATAGTGAACAATCTTAAGGGCCTAAATAGTGAACAATCTTAATTTGAGTTCAAGTTTGCAAATGGGGCCCAAGCCCAAATATTAATTCGAAAATTTTGAAATCGAGAACAAGTAAATTTCGAGTAATTAAAATGAAAGTCCAGCAAATTAACTATTAGTATATATATAAATTAATTTTCCTAAAAATCAAATATAATTACTAACATGTTTATTTATTAGCTAATGAGGAAATTATGAAACCTAATTAAAATAATTAAAATAAATTTGAACCGGAACCGAAACGCAAATTGATTGGTCGAAGACAAGTAAAAACCATGCAAACCCGAGTAATCGAGCCGAATCATTAAATTAGACCAAATCGGTTCGAATCGAACCGGAATGGTCTAGAAGCCCAAGATTTTTCTTTCTTTTCTTTTTTTTTTCTTCGTTTCTTTTTCTTTTTCTTTTTTTTCTTTCCCTTCTTCTTCCTTGCGCCAGCACCAGCGCGCGACCTTCTCCTCCTCCTCCTCCTCTTCTTCCGACAACCGAAGACCAACGCCGCGCCTCCTTGCCATCGCCTCCACGTCGCAGCAGATCCCGGCTTCCCATCCCTTCTCTCTTTCGTCTCTGGCATACGCAGGAGGTGCAGGAGAGCCGCGACATACGATCGAAGTTCGCGTCGAGCCTCTCCTGCCTGATTTTCCAGCGGCTCATTCAGTATTGCGAGGAAGAAGATTCGATCTCTCTTCTTCACTCCTCCTTCCCGTTTCGGCTGCTAGCCAAAAACCAAGAACCAAGAAACTGCGATCACAGCGCGTAGTAAGTAAAGTCGCATTCAAAACCTTGGTGAGCTCTATATGATCCCTTTTCCGTCAATTATTTAGCTTATTCAATAGCTCATTTGAGGAAAGGGTTGTTAGAATCATGAATGAGAAATGCTAAGTTCCTGAAACACTATTCACACGATTGGAAGTTGGGAAAAATTTGATTTTTGACTATTAATTGACACTATAACTGCATTTTTCAAGGAAATGTGTAAGTTAGGGTGTAAGAAATTAGAATGATTGTGATATGGTAGCAGCCAACCTAGCTATTTGCTTAAAATTTCTGCTTTGATATGAGGCATTTGACATGATAAGTTAAGTTTTTGTTGGTAAATGAGTTAACTAGTGTTTATAATATGGATTTTGATCGAGCAACCTTGATTTGCTTAGGTAGGCAGCAGCTATCTTCAACTATTTCTATTGATTTTTGGTTTGACATGGTACAATTAAGGTTGTAAATCTATTTCTTGCGTGGAATTAGTTAGTTGGTGTGATCCATGATTTTAAGATAGAAAAACTTAATTCTTTTTGCGAATTGACAGCAATTACCTTGATATTTTTTTTGTTTTGCTTTAGAAGGATAAATTTATGTAAATGAGCGTACTTTTAAGATTTCATGATGATTGATGTATAAATGCTTATTTATGATTTGAGAGACAAATAAAATGGGTTCGTTACCTGAAATTTTGCTTGGCGAGAATGCTGACTCACATATTATTAAGTCGTATTCAGGATCTTAGTTATATAATGATAAAGAAAAGAAAAGAAAGAGTGAATTATAGTTGGCATAGGGTTACTACAAGCATATATATATGGATACTGTTAAGTAAAATGTTCTATTTTCATATTTGTTATTTTATATGGGCTTAACCTAGATAGCAAAGCCTTGGATGTAATAGCTAAAGTTATATTGTGATTTAAATATTTATACTTATACTTGAATGGAGGAAGGGAAATTATTTATTTGATTGCCCGATGGATGACACTGTGTGTGTAATGGTTGATGGATATAATATTGCTGATATTTTAAGCAGGTAGATAATCCACTTTTAGGGAGGATGCTGTCGAAATTCATAAGAACTTAATTATTTAATTAAGCACATAATAAATAAGCTTATTTAGAATAATTTCATAAGTATACAGTGCTCTGATTATTTATTATCTTTATTATAGATTTCATTATTTACATATTTACTTATTTATTTTCATCCTTATTGTTATTATCGTTATTTATTTTATTATTATTGTTGTTTATTGTCAATACTATTATTTATTTATCTATCCGCATTGATTTTGGATGTTTAATCACGCATTGCATTATAATGTCTAATCGATCAATATGTTTGCATTTGACTGCAATGTTTGATTAATTGTGTTGTGATATTG